TGTGTAGTCATAGTTATCAATAGGCTCCATCCCTAGTTTTGTACCTGGCATAAAGTTCAGTGGACGTAATATTACTATTCAGCACCCCGCTTTTCAAAATCCTGGATACGCCACTGCCCAGATCAACTAATTACTTTACTGTATAATAAAGTATTTGCACAAATAACAATAACAATATAATAAGATGAATTATCTTACCACTTGCTTGTCCTGAGTTTGATGGTGGCTTTGGAATGTCTGAAATATAATTCTTTAATGGATTACTAGTATATTGAAATAAGTTTATATTATTTAGTGTAATTTACAATTGCATCTTTACAGTGATAGGAAAGCAATTTGATATGTTTAGACATGGAAGATTTTATACATTACTGTAAATGCCCAACTTAATATGTAATTATTTTAATACAACTATAAATCATAAATACAAAATGTTTAATATTATAACTATTCTAATTCTTGCAAACAGGAAGAAACAATTTGATTTGATTTACTTTGATACCATACATGAAACATACAATTTGAAAATGACATAAATGTAAAAATGAGTAAAATCATGTGGTATCTGAAATAACCCTCTAAATCCCCAGGAGGAGATTTACATCCAGAGGGGGTCCCATTACACAAAAGCAGCATTCTACAAGCTTTGGGAATAATTGATGGCTTCCTAAATTTATCAATTTACTATAAGAATACTTCACATATCAACAAACTATTCTGAACTAAAAGAGAATTTGTTCACACCTATTATCTTGAACCATCCACAGTGTCAACCATTAATAATAGCAGCATTGGTGGCGGTAGTAGTAATAGTAGTAGCAGTAGTAGTAGTAGTACAGTACAGTAGTTATTATATAGAATACGGTAACAAATAACAATATCATAAGACACCAAAGTAAACATTATTCATCATGCCACTTGCTTGTCCTAGGTTTGAAGATGGCTTTGGTATTTCTGTAATTTAATTTAACAATTGATCTGGTACAAAAATATCTATTTATTTATTATTTAGGCCAGAATTTTTTTTTTATTCAAGATCATCAGAGGAAGGCGGAATAAATATAAAAATAAAATTCTGTTTTCTTATTTGGCAAATAGTTTTGCAAAGAACATCCAGATGGAGGAGAAAATAAAAATAAAATTTTATTGGTGAATGTAAAATATGATGGTTAAATGCTTCAAATTTATATAATTAGGAAGAAATATACATATCTTATCTTTGAAGATTTCAAGAGGGCGTAATAAATACAAAGAAAAATTTTTATTTTTTTCTGAAATTTCCACTTTTTCGTGGGGGCAGGTGCACTAATTGGCCATAAATATAATTTTATTTTTATTGGAAATCATCAATATTTGCAATCGGTCTTTTGCAAAAAGTTTCACCTTACCATAATAAATAATTTGACTTATTTTCTGGCAGCATATTTTTAAGTGTCAGGAAAGCATTGAGATGTTAAGAAATGGAAGAGCCATATAAATGTAATTTTATACTGATTATTGTGTTTGATATACAAATATAAATAAGAAAATAAATATCAAGTTGAGTGGTCGAGCAGAAAGGAAGAGGCAGCTTAATCGGCTCTGGTTCAAGCTGCTCTTCTGCATGGGTTTGGTTGGTGAACCAAGTCTAAAAAAACTCAAAGAACTCATTGCATCTTTCAGAAGAGTAGCAGGGTTACCCTAATGCTTCGGTTCATTTCAGCCCCTGTCATTGTGGAACAATTTGAAAATGTAGCTAAGTGCCTCTTTACGTCTGCTAGGTAGTCACAGACCATGCCACACACAATTCAGCACAATGATGCTACTAGTTATGAGTTATTCTCCTACCTTTAACTTTTATAAACTAATCAAAATCTTGCAAATGAAAAGGACCAATTTACACCACTGAAATGTTAAAAGCGGCTTCTCCTTCATGTATCAGCCTGATTTTTAAAAGTATCACAAATTTCAATATCGAATATCTTTTGCAATGCAAAATTATTATGAATTTAGAATGAGAAGATTGGACAAAACATACAACGACCCAGAAATAAATGGAATGAACTATAAATTTAAATCATTTGTTGCAAAAATATACTTTTATTACTTTGAAAAAAGTAACGACTGATGATATACAGTAATTAAGGTTCCAAGTTCAATTCAAATGTCAGGCTGATTTAAAATAATACATTTTTTATTTTCCTGTTAAAGGATCATTTTGAACTACGTGTTTTTCTTTTAATTTTCATTACTAAAGTCATAGCTTCTCATCTATATTGACAGTATACTTTATACAGTACTCTGACAATTTAATAGTAATAATAATAATAATAATAATAATAATAGTGTAGTTTTATATAGCGCACATATCCATCTAATATAAGATGCTCAGGGCGCTTGATATGTGGACTAGGAACTCGACCAATGACTTTCTTCGCCCCTAAGGGTCCCTTCGTATCTGTGCTACGTGGTAACCGGGTACCAGCAACTCTCGTCATCCACCACAGGGGCTGTCTGTTCCAGTACACCGGGGTATCCCCCTACTCGTCCCGAAGGGTGTATTGGGTTCTTTATAGTGCACACGGGCCACTGTATACACTGGGCCTACGGTGTATAGTCCTTACCCAAGAAGACTTATTCTACCACCAGAACCATAGGCAAGCGTGCCGTTCGAACCAGCACCGATATTATGGCTATAGCTGGTGGCGCCCCTGCTAACCGCTCGGCCATTCAACTGTAAATGTACTCAAAAAATTTTATCTCATTGGATTGATTGATTTAAATTTATTTATGAATTTATTTGTTTGTTTATCAGGCTTTTCACTTATTTGTTCATTTGATTTTCCATTTATTATTATTTTTTTAATTTTCTTTATATTTGTATCGACTTCTAATTCCTTTAAGGCATGCCCACCACAAAATTTATTGTTTTTCTAGACGCCCAAAAATAACCTCTGATGCATTTTAGGCAATCAATTTTTTTCCCTTTTTTTTCAAAAGGGAGGAGCTCCCACTAAATCTTCCCGTCATATCTCAATCTGAAATTTTTGTTCACATTTTATCTTATATTTCATTGTACTCCATCCTTTGGTTGTAGAACCTTTTAGTGCACAGAGTTTTTTCAGTTATAAGCACTAAAGAGAATTTATCAACATTCATTAAATTGATATAAAAGAAAAGAAAATACCTTCTGTTAGAGCTTTGACAGCTTGGTGGAGTTTGAGTTTCTTCAACTTTTCAATGAATGTGTCCATGTTCTCTTCACAAATAACCATGTTGTGTTCTATATCCATAATCAAACTCCAGCTATCTGTATGTTTTACATCATAAAGTTCACTAATCTTTTGTACATCACTTGGAGTGAGTGCCATTCCCAGATTTACTAGTCTTTGCCGATGTGGTGTGAATTTCGTAATTACACTATCCCTGATACTTTTGGAAATTTTGAATGATGGCAATTGAGTGTGAATTTCTTGTTCCAGACCAAATTGCTCTGTTGCCTTAATAGTATCATAGAGGAGAGTGAGCTTATTTGGACTCAGATTTCCAGAACTAATCAACATATCAATTAATTGTATTGTCTTAGAAGACTCATGTAATGCAAAAGTATCTTTTATATGGTCCCTGTACAATACTTTCAGCATATTGATAGATATGTGTTTGTCATACCAATTTGACACAAGCAACTTAAGTTCTGCAAAACCGGCATCATTTGTTTCTACAATGTAAACAAATAGAAATGTACAGTATTAATATCAAAAGCATTTGATATGGCAATTGTTTGGACACAAAGTATATGTTGTAGAATTTCTTGATCACAAAAACAGCAAAAAACAGTGGTGTAACAAAAAATTCTGAGACACCAGTGCCAGTATTCTTCGGGCCTTACTATCCTGGGGAAGAAAGTCCGGCAGGGTTTGATAAATTTGACGTTTTCAAATAAGTATTTTGAAGGTGTTTTTCCAACAGGACAAACTCAGCCAATGTATGGGGCAAAAATGCTGATAAATTTCCCAGGATCCTTTATGGCCTAGTACCAGTGTTTTTGGCGGTGTTTTCGGTAGTCCTACTAAACACCACCAGGGAACACCAGGGTTTGATATACTACTAAATATTACCACTGGGAAGTAGGTAATTTGCTTTTAGTTGCTTATTGAATAAAACTTAATTTCTAAGCCCAAAATCTTTCAAAAGTTGTTAAAAATCTATTACACACAGGTGCAGGTTGCATGTTCTGTGACAGAATATTCTTATAGAGGCTGTGAACGTTGCCCTTAGAATATGTCAGTCCAAAATCACAAGTAAAAATTCAAGGAACGAATGCATTTTTCCCATCAAATAATACTTGATATAGAAATACATGGTGAACCAACCAGGATTTTCAAGATAAAGACTAGTAGTAGGTTTTAGAAACTCATTTTTACTCTTTAATAAGCAACTACAAGTAAGATCAAATGCTCTCCACTTGAACTGCATCATGCCCCGGTGGGGTTTAATATTTTTAGTTTACCTTTACTTATATCCATGTTCACTGTCATTGGTACAGCTACTGCTTCAATTCATTCCTTTCATTCATTCCTGAAATAAACAAGAATCCTCATTCATAATATGTGGCAAAGACAAGCCAAACCAGTCACTCCTCGCAAAAATCGATTTTGAGTTATTAATACAGTGTTAGATAGTAAAATAATAGCTATAAAATGGTAAAAAATCATTCAAATTGGACATTTCTTTATGAAATTACAAGCGTTTAACCACACAGCTGTTTAAAGAACAATATATGAGAAATTAGCCATCAAAGTTTATGATTTCAGGCATTTCTCATGCAGAAACTATCTTTAAATCCTTAAAAAGTATTGTTTTAACATTGAAAATGGAGAAAATAACAGCATAGAATGATGTGTAGATATATAAGGGTTAGTTTACTACCATAAAATAGATTTATAAAAATTTGACATTCCAGCATGTTTTAGCCATTTTCTCTGAAACACGATTTGCGACAAGTGACTAGTTTGGCTTGTCTTTGCCACATATAATTAAAAGGACAGAGATTGAAAAATTGTAAGATCATTACTTGTCCTGTCCAGCTGTATGATTCCAAAACTTATGGCCTTTATTATTTTTATTGTGGAATTTTCCTTGCTTTTCTTGATTTTTTTCATGATCCAATAGCCCTTTATATGTATTTTATAAATTTTTAAACCTTTCATAATTTTTTTAGCTGCCACTTGAAACAATGAAATAAAAATGAATTTGAATACAGTTGTAATGTAATGTTGTTCTCCAGTCAAACTTGGCCTATTATACACATGAACTGCAAGTTGGGTATTTGAAAGTGTACATTCATGAATTCTACAGACTTAGATAGTGAGTGTCAATATTTTCATATAAACTTGGGGCCAGAATGGCAATGAGAATAATTTTCCAAAACTTTAGCTAACACAAGTATTATGAGGCCTAAATTTACTTGGAAAATCGACAAATTTTGAAAGTTTCCTTCTTTTGCTCTATGGAAATGTCAGAAAAATTCATTTATGGAAACAAAACAATTTTTCCCAATATACACATTATACACATTTACAGGTAACAACCAAGTCGTATGACCCAGGGGTCAGAAAGTGTTTGGGTCTCATGCATTTCAGTAAAGTATTCACTCAAAATGTGTTGTGTAAGTGGCCAAAGGGACAGTATTTTTAAGAGAATCCCATTTATGAATATTAAGGCTAAAAAGACCGCAATATAAATTGTCTACTAAACCATAATCAACTTTATTATATTCTGTTCATACATACATTTACATTTTGCTGAATTTTAAAAATTCTTAAATTGATTACCAGCCAATTTATGGAAAAGAATACAGCAAAGGTATCATTCAACTCCCCAGAGATTACAAACAAATGAATTTGTTGATAGTGATATATTTGGTTTCAATTTTGAATTAAATATTAGCTGGTTAGAGAAAGTCCTACCTAGTTCATTTGATGGTGGTTCCGACAGGTGCACTACGTTTAGATAAATACAGTAGCAAAATAAAAGGCGACTTTTATAAACTATAGGCTGATAATTAAGAACTAGGCCAACTTAGGCCTAGCCAGCATTCGGTGTACTGCACATGATCATGGGTGATTTCATTAATTTAGTAATGTAAACCTTACTACTACTAATCTCAGACTTCTCAAGTTAGTATAGTAAAATGCATAGTAACCAAGTATTCAAATATTTGACGTAGCATATACAAAATTTCCGTAGCACCTAACAATTTTGTCTTGAGTGCAAAATATGCGTTGCATATACAGGTACAGGATAATAACAGCTGTATAATTTCAAACAAACAGGACCCAGATGAAGATTTACCGGCCACATTTTCTTTGTTTACAATAATTGATCAGTAATTCAGGGGCTGATCTGGCTTCAAATTTTGGAGGGGGTCGATATGTTTCTAC